CTGTTGTCTGTTCATGACACAGGTTACGTTCTGAAAATTCCTTTTGAAGTTTTATGTATTTGTAAGAATTGGGTACTTCCTCTCTCAGGCTGGCTAATGCAATAGTTGAACAACAACAAAACATTTCTAGAATGGTATTAAGTATTTAAATTATAGTAGACCTGTTCCATTTTGCTGAGTCATTGAACCTATTTTTGAATAAGCAACAAAATCCTATTCAAGTTCAGGGAAAATACCTTGCCCTTAGAGTTGGTTCTTTTGAATGTGAATCTGAAACCCTAGCAGGATCCATCGTTTCCATTTCAGCTGCTCCATTATGTCAGTATGAACTGTGAAATTTGCGTTTGCATATGTAGAGAATTTTTTCTGTTCTTAAAGGTTCTAATTTTTTTTTTTTTGTCTGTGAATGAAAATGGTTGGACACCTTGGGGGACCTAATTTAGTAAATGGCTTTGAAAAGCTTTTTTCTAGATCAAAGTGAGATTTATATATATTTTAAGTAGTACTCTCATAGTCAGATTGAAATAACAAAAACTTCTTTGTGGGTTTATCGCTCCCTGCTCATGTCCTCAGATTACAAGTGGCCTCAACTCCAAGCTCAGGTTAATATGTGGGCTCCTTCCGTCCTCCCCCCCCAGTCCAAATGGATCACAAAGCTGGGATTCTCTTCACCTCCACTGTCAGTGTTGTCCCTTTGAAAGGAAAAACATGGAACAACTACTTACCGAAGCAAACACTCGTTTCTTTTTTTTTTTTCTTCAATTAGTTTTAGGTGTACGGAACAATGCAATTAGTTATACTTTTCACCCCTCACGAAGTGACAATCCCCCTCCCCCAATCAACCACCCCCTTCCCCGATATCATATATACCTATCACAATTCCATCGACTCCACTCCCCGCACTGTACTCCACATCCTGTAACCACATATATTATCAAGTCTCAGTTGACATACAATACTATTCAACGGCAGCTTTAGATATACAGTGCAGTGGTCAGGCCTCTACACCATCCATGAAGTGGTCTCCCTAACACGACATGAGTACGTCCGACCCCCTAAAAAATATTTACAACATTATTGATTATACTCCCCAAACTGTCTTTTCTATGCCTGAGGCCATATTGAAGTTACCGATTTATGTTGTCCCATCCCTTCCCCTTCTCCCTCATCCCCACCCCCATCCCATCTAGCAACCATCAATTTTTCCTCTGTGTCTCTGAGACTATTTCTGTTTACAATGCTCGTTTATTCAGTTCTTTAGATTCCACATATGAGATCATATGGTATTTGTCTTTCTGCGACTGACTTATTTAACTTAACATAATGTTCTCTAGGTCCATCCATATTGTTGCAAATGGTGCGATTTCCTTATTCTTTATAGCTGAGTAATACTCCATTGTGTAAATGAATCACAGTTTCTTGATCCAGTTGTCTACCGATGGGCATTTCAATTGTTTCCAAGTCTTGACTATTGTAAATAATAGCGCTGCAATGAACATAGGGGTGCATATATTTTTTCGAATTAGTGTCTTGGATTTCTCTGAATAAATACCTAAGAGTGAAATTGCTGGGTCATAAGGTAGTTCCATTTCCAATTTTTTGAGATACCTCCATACTGATTTCTACAGTGGCTGCACCAATCTGCAATCCCACCAACAGTGCACCGGGGTTCCCTTTTCTCCACAGCCTCACCGGGACTTGTTGTTTGTTGATTTATTGATGATAGCCATTCTGACCAGAGTGAGGTGGTATCTCCTTGTGGTTTTTATTTCCATTTCTCTAATGATTAGTGAGGTTGAACATTTTTTCATATGCCTGTTGGCCATCTGTATGTCCTCTTTAGAGAAATGTCTCTTCATATCTTCTGCCCATTTTTTAATTGGGTTGTTTTTTTGGTGTTGAGTTGCATGAATGTTTTGTAAATTTTGGATATTAACCCCTTATCAGATATATCATTGACAAATATCTTCTCCCATTCAGTAGGCTTTTTTGTTTTATTGATGCTTTCCTTTGCTGTGAAAAATCTTTAAAGTTTGATGTAATCCCATATGTTCATTTTTTCTTTTACTTCCCTTGCCCCGGGGATGTATCAGTAAAAATATTGCTCAGGGTAATGTCTGCAAATTTACTGCCTATATTTTCTTCTAGGAGTTTTATGGTTTCAGGTCTTACATTTAAGTCTTTAATCCATTTTGAATTTGTTCTTGTATATGGCGTAAGGAGGTGGTCCGGTTTCATTTTTTTGCATGTGTCAGTCCAATTTTCCCAGCACCATTTATTAAATAGACTATTTTTACCCCAATGTAAATTCTTGCTTCCATTTTCATAGATTAACTGTCTGTATATGAATGGATTAATTTCTGGCTTTCTAGTCTGTTTCATTGATCTATGTGCCTGTTTATGCCAGTACCATACTGTTTTGATTACTGTAGCCTTGTAGTATGTTTTGATGTCTGGTAGCGTGATCCCCCCGACTTTGTTCTTATTTCTCAGGATTGCCATGGCTATTCGGGGTCTTTCATGGTTCCACATGAATTTTAGGATTACCTTTTCTAGTTCTGTGAAAAATGCCCTTGGTAGTTTGATAGGAATTGCATTGAATCTATATATTGCTTTAGGCAGTATGGACTTTTTAACTATATTAATTCTTCCAATCCATGAGCATGGTAGGTTGCAAACACTCATTTCAAAGCCACTTCTTCAAAGCACCCTTGCAGGCACATTCTCTGATAATAATTCATATATAACAGCAAAGTTTTATTACAGCTTTAAACATTTTTCTAAATTGATATAAGAAATAATTGTTATCAGTGATGGAGTAAAAATATTACCAAAAAGGGGCAAGAATATGGGTGGTGTCCCTTTGCCTATTTAAAGAGGCCACTACCACATAGAGCCCTTTACACAGACTTAAAATGCCCCCTGGCCTTCCTTGCTTCCTTTCTCCCTCATCCTTTGTTCTGTTTGCTCCAGTATTGACAGAATAACCTATCAACTTGATCTAGAACACTATTTCTGGTAAGATATCACTGTATGTACAGCGTCCCACTCCATCCAGCCTGAATCAGAACCACATAGAGACGGGAAGGAAATGTGTGAAAGAAATAACTGGCTTTAGTGGTTGGGTGACCAATTCTATCTATCCACACACCCAACACCCAACAAGACCTGTACTTCCTAACGCTCTCCAATACCTGAACCTGAAGGCCATAGGACTCCTTAAAAACGTTGATTCAGTCTTTTCTTCAGCTCATAGCGGTGGCTGACGTATCAGCATCCCCAGGGAGCTGCTAGAAATGCAGTATCTCAGGCTATTCTAGTTCTGCTAAATCAGAATTTGCATTTTATTAAAATCTCCAGGTAATTTAGATGCACATTAGTTTGTAGTATGTATAAGTCAGAGCCATTGCCATATAAAGTAGACTCTAAATATTAAATGTAGCAGCTTTTATGGAGAACTGGAAGGCTTGGATAATAATCCATAAACCTTTTGACAAGTCAATTCTACCCTTGGGAATCCTATGATAGAAATAACAACACATGTAAGGAATTTGTTTATATGTAAAGATCAGTTTATTCCAACATGACTCATAGTGGCAAGAAAGAGCGAGCAAATGAAAACGAGGGAAGGAGAAAGGGAGGAAAGACCCAAGCCTGTAAACAAAGCAAATGTCCATCAAAAAGGGAAGAGTTGAATGATGGTCCATTCATGCCAAGAAGTATTACTTAGCTATTAAAAAAAATGAATTAAAGCCACACCAACTAACTTGAAGTGATTTCCATTGCTGAGTGAGAAAAGCAAGAAAAAGGGACTATTATCATTTTTGTAAAAGAATGGTACCTACCTGGAAACAGATGTCTGTATATGTACGTGTGTGTGATTATATGAGCAGACAAAAAGAAGTGGGAAGATATGTACTAGTTTGGTAACTTGGGTGACCTGAGCAGAGGAAGGAGTGAGCCAAGCAAAAAGGAAAAAGTGAAACAAAATGTACGCTAAAAAAACCCAGTTATGGACTGATGTGATTTTAGCATTTAAAACTCTTTGTGGATCTATATTGACAATTTAAAAATGAAACTAAAGTGGTGAAGATAAAAAAATGAGGCTTCTGAACAAGCCAATAAATTGACTCTCTTCCCTTAGAATAAATGAGAGCTGCTTGATGCTTCTAAAAGAAAATAACTTTTTAGTTATCCTGTGAAAACAGAGCTTGCTTCACTTTGCTGCTCCGGGTGGGGTGGGGCTCCTCCAAGCTCCTCCCTGGCACCTGATGCTCTGTCGAGTCCTCACACAACGTCACCTACCAAACACCTTGACCTGGCTCCAACAACAGAACAGCAAAGAGGATAACAGATGGGGGTTGAGGACACCACATTTTTCCTGCTGATAAATAGGCCTACATTTGATCACGGTAGCAACCTCAGTGAAAATGAAGAGCTACTTAATTCTAACCTTTCATACTGATGGAGTATACTGCTACACAATTTCCTTCCAATTAAAATTAGAAATTTCTATTTCCTACCTAGTAGTTAAATGCTTTTCTTTTTTCTGCTTTCTATTTAAGACATCTAGTGCCACATTGCTTCTCATGCTTTTCTCTACCTGTTATCCTTAAAGATGAAACCAAACAGAAACTTATTTCCCACCAATTGCCCAAATACATCAGGCAAAAAATACCAAACTTGACAAAAGTTTAAACGTAGAGCTTTAGCATGATCACATCATAAAGGAAGGAAAGTTCAATGTTCACTTTCCCCACATTGGTTGAATGCTTGTCCAGTGGGAAGCTCAAACCTCTCTACCAGGAAGCCCGAGGCACACCCCACCCACCAGGCAGGTAAGGGACTACTCACCCCAGGAGGAAAACCAGACAACTTCAATGAGACATTTAAAAGGGCCGTAGTGGAGCAAAAGCCTGGACTACTGGCTTGGTGGTAAATTGTAACACAGCACATATGCACGCGTATGTAACCCTTCTGAACCCTTCTCCATCCTGCAGGTTCTATGAACACACCCGTGATCTGAGTCTTTTTCTCTTCAACGACGCACTGCTTGTTTCTGGTCGGGGCACATCTCACACTCCGTTTGAAAGGACTTCAAAGTCAACCTACCAGTTCATCGCATCAGTGGCCCTGCCTAGATTACTCGTAGAAGATATTCCAGATTCCAAATGTATTTTTTTCCTTTCAAGAGTTAAATACCTTTTGAGAGCTATACTGTGTAAAGCTCATTAACTGTTGAAATAGGAAAGTAGGAAAAGGACTGGAATTCTACATTGCAGTTTGCAAATAATGCCCCACATATTTTTAGGATTTCATTCAACTTTCATTTCCCTGAAACAGCAGAAGGAAAGAATGCTGGCATTGTTATATACCCTAAACAGCAGGAAAAAAGTTTTCAAAATTCACAAAGGGAGGCATGACCCCCCCCTCCCCCCATCATGAGGGATTCTTTGAAGCAGTTCCCCAGGGAAGATGGAGCCTTTAACCACTACTCTATGCTGCCTGTAGATATTACAATTTTAGGCTTTTATGTATTATGTTTCTATTCTGGGTTAAGTGATTATTACAGATTTGCTGTTGACTTTTCCTCCCTAAGTTCCAGAGTAAAGGCGAGATAAAGGATGTTTAGTAATAACATTTCATTCATAACCTCAATAGAAATAGCGTTACCAAAAAATTCCTACTTAAATGTACGGTGCCTCTTCAGTTATTCCTATACTCTACTTCCCAAGCTTAAAAGAATCCATCTCTTTCCTATATTTGTTAGGCCAGACAGCCTGAATATAGCACTCTCATTCTGGTATTTTCTACTGCATGTGAAGGCAGGACTTAAGGTTAAACAGGAACCAAGATCTCAGAGAAGGTATTCATCTAAAAAGGACTGCTTCTCACTAGCTTCAGCTCCATTTTAAATCTGAGCCTGAGAAAAAATGAATACCAAGTGTGGGAATAAATATTTCCATCTAGAAATCAAACACATAAAATGGGTTACCTATAAACACTGGGTATATTTAAAAAGTATGACAAGTCTCTCTTCATCTCCCCTTAATCAGCTATGCCCTATGTCAAAACATCACTTTGTAACCTAATATAGTGGCATTCAGCTAAGTAACTGGCTTAATTCTGTCATTGGCCCTCATACCAAGGTTGTCTAGGTTTAGTTCTCAGCATCTCTATCTACAACTCTTAGTAAAAACCTTTACTGGTTCCAGCTCCTTCTGGAGTGGCTAAGACCAGGAATTAAAGAACCCTACAGTACCTATAATTTCTTTTTCAATACAATTGCCAAATACAATTAATAATATAAAGACAAGATTACTTCAGGTTATAACCTATTTGAATTATTCAGTGATTTTTGCAAGTTATATTTGAAACTGGATTTGTATTTATTTGAATCTCTTTTTAGTATTAAAAAAATTCTTATTGATTTGGTCAATTCTTGAATTTTAAAACATTTTCTCCTTCTAATTGTTACCTGTAAAGATTAATCTGTGTACCTCAAATATTTTTACAGATATCAAGAATGCATTTATTCTTCAAGGTCCAAAACGTCAATGGACTTGTGCTACAGAAGCTGAGGATGATAAGTTCCTATGGCTGTCAATGCTCCAAAATGCAATACGCAGTGCCATGCAGAAGTGAGGCTGGACTTGAAACATCAGGGGTGCCAATGCTCCCTGGCAAGGACAGACAACATGTGTTTTCTGTTCCAGAGGATTATCTGTCATGGAGGATGTGAGGAGGATGAACTGGGATAACCATTGTTTCTTATCACCTTTTAAACTTTATCATCTATATTCAATTATGTCAAATGTACCATAAGAACAACTTGAGTCCAAGATTTTGAGCCACCTTCTTTTGATAGTTATTTTTCATTGACAGTATTATATATTAACTGACAAAACCTAACACAGAACAAGGATGATGTATATTTAAAGTTTTGTTTTAAGATCTAATAAAACATAAAATCAGAATGAAAAGGATTGCTTAAGTGACCAGTCTACAGAAACATTTTAATTTGTTGGTAATTTACCAATCATCTTTACCATTTTCCTGAAATAATTACTGATTAAAAAATATGTATAAAAATATAAATGGCAATATACTCAAAAATTTGTCACATATATCCTTAATATGAATGTACTTTTCCAGAGAGCATTAAAAATATATCACTACAAAGTATTAAAAAGTTTTCTGTAATTTTTAAATGTTCTTTGGTTGCAAAATGAAATACTTAGACCTTCCAAATAAACTTTAAAAATTTGTGACATTAAATTAGAAGGCTGTTGGAAAAAAATAAAATCCTTTAAAAAACAAAAATAAATGGAAGGCTAGCAAAAGTTGCCTGTAATGAAATTTAAATAAAATAAAGAAATTATGATAAATCTGTTTCAAAACAGAGAAACAGTAAAATAGGTATTGAGTAGTTTTCTGGGCCTTTAAGGCCTTCATTTAATTATTTAACAAACTGAAGCCATAACCTGTTAGCCACTTGGTAACTTTAGCTGATGTATGTAGAAATATTTTTATTTAGTTAATGGTAGCTAAAAGTTACATTAATCTCGGAAGTTTTCTGTTGTCGGTTTCCTTTTTGCTTCGTATTCTCCTTTAAGGTAATAAAATCTATTAGTACAGTCTAGGGTTGTGAACTAAGCTATTTTAAACGTTTTCTTTTTTTAACAATGAAAGTATATATTAAAAAATTTAAATTCTTGTTAAAAACTGTACAAAGCTTTCAAAATATTGTGCTGTTTTATTAGTGTAAAATCACACTTTTGATTCTGTTATGATATATCCATGCAGCTTAAAATCTATGATCCTATGGACAGAATAAACCATTAAAGGGAGCATCTGCTGTTAGTCAGCAATGAATCTAAATTTACAAATGTGATCAAAATGTATATATCATATGTGATAAAACAAATCCAAAGACAGTATACCATCCTGAATAAGGCACCCTTCAGAAACTCTTTGTTAATAGAAAAAACTTTTCTACGGCAAAAGAATAAGTGACAAGATAGCTGAAGGTAAACTAGAAATCCTAAGGAATTTCCACTTATTCTGTGACTAATGTCCTCAGAAGTTTTAAAACATATTACTTGAAAATAATCTCTGTAGAGGCTGATGAGTATAAGATTTTAATTGAGAGTTAAGTGCATATTCAAGCAAAAAATGGTGATATTTGCAAGTGGATGGTACTTATATTGTTTGTGGTTTCAATATTTGGCCTTCACTTTCAGGATATAATTAAGGAAGTCTGTCTTCATTGCTATTTCATAAGTTTGACTGCTGCTGAATTAAAATCTGACACACACAATTGTTAAGTCACTGGTGAAACTGATCAATTTTTCATATGGAAAATACAGGCTTTGACCCCAAGTGGACATGGAAAAATCTGAAAGTACCACGTGACCCCAGAAGAATGCCGATTACTACAGAGCCTATGGTTAAAGAGGGCCTTATCCAATACAATTCTGTCAAATCAAAAATTAAATAGGAAACTCATTTTAAAGATTTTCACAAAAAATATGCTTTATGTGAAATATTTAACCTAAAGGACAAACTGAGTCTACTTAATTTTGTCTTCAGCAAATATTTCTGAGTTGGTGCTTGATATATAAAGAGAAGCCGCTTCTGTGCGTCAGATCAGTGTGACGTTCTGGCCGCCTAAGTCTAATGTATTCCTGATGCTTGGAATAACAAGGGTGGGCTATGGCAACAAACACAATATACCCTCCAGAAAAAGTCATCCTGACCCTTTTATTGTTGAAATTAAAAAATAAAAGATACTTAAATACAATGGTGAACATATAGGGCAAAACAGAATCATAAAATTTAATGTTGAATTAAGCAGTGAGCTGAATGTTTGGGTCTCCAAATTGGCCTGAACCCAAAACTGCTTAAAAATGGGTATGTTCACAGTTAACGGCAATTGGCTTATAGGTGAGAGAATGGTCGAAGTTGTTCCAGTTGAACTTCCAGGGCAATTCTCTCCTCAAGAACATCCTGAAAAAGATGCAAAGCAAGTTATGTTTCAATGTATATAAAAGTGAAGGCACATCTAACAACAGCTCTGCATCAAGAAAGCCGTTTAAATTTGTTAAGAAGACTCAGGGATAGCTGTTCATATTTTAAAGATAGTTCACTTTAGAAGTGCAATTATTTCACATGTATGTAATATTAAAATATAGTATTAACATATTTTTCTTATTACATAAATCAGGACAATAAAATGTTTTTTGTTTACATGTTAGAAAAGCCAATATTTGCCAATGATGGCTATTAATGCATGAATTTTGTATGAAGCGTACCTACCCCCTGCAGTAGATGAGTCAGTTAACATAGATTCTTTCCCCTGGTGATTATATCTGGTCACAACCAACTCCTGAGCCTCACTTTGAGTTTCAGTGTCACAGAGAATACGTTTATTTTGCAATCACAATTTCTAACTACTGTTGATTTTGAGCAGTCTTTTCAGATAGCCAGCAAATTCTAATTTATCTACTTTCCTTTATATTCCCTTTTCTTTATCATGCTTTAACCAGAACCACCTCTTCCTATTTGGTACCATACTTCCCATTTTCTGTTCTCAGAAATAATGAGAAAAGTGATTTTAAAAATAGCTCCTATCATACATGTTTCTATGGTTTTCTTTAGTTCTTCAGAAAAACATGCATTAACAAAATTTTCATCTTCAGTATGGTACTAACAAGCTTGTCCTTAGTTTTACATTCTTCCTTTAAAACCGAGGAAATTTATAATCATAGAACAGCTACAAGTATCTTCTTTGATCACAGTTACATAAGAATATCATTTATTCAACAGACATTTATCAAATGTTGAATAATGTGAGATTGGGATTTCTAAGAAATATATATTTGGCTAGTCAGATGACCAAACTATAGTTTTCTGGTCCATTTGGTCTTCTTCACTGTTCCTGGTTCCAAAACCCTGAAATTTGCAGGAGGGGTCTTTTGTTATGTTAATAAAGTGCATTCTGGAAGTGCCTAAGGATGGAAGGCTGGTCGCAGGGAGGAGCAGCCAAGTGATCTGAGGGCTGGAATGTTCAGTCCCGCCCCCAACTCAGCGAGGAGAGAGAGGCTGAACGTTGACTCAACAGCCAGTGACTGAATCAATCATGCCTATGTAAGGAAGCTTCCGTAAAAACCCCAAAGCACAGGACTTAGAGAGGTTCCAGACTGAGGAATATGTGGCAATGTGGGGAGAGTGGTGTCTTGGAGAGGGCATGGAAGCTGTGTGTCCCTTTCCACATACCTTGCCCTATGCATCTGCTCATCTCGCTTGTTCCTGAGTTATCAACTCTTATAAACCAGTGAAGTGGTAAGCAACATATTTCTCTGAGTTCTGTGTGCCTTTTTAGCAAATTAATCAAACCCAAGGAGGGGGCTGTAGGAACCTCTGGTCAGAAGCACAGGTAAGAGTCTGGGCCTGCGGATGGCATCTGAAGAGTATGTGTGGTAGGGCACAGCCTTGTAGACTGAACTCTGAACATGTGGACTCTAATGCTATCTCTAGGTAAACAGTGTCAGAATTGAGCTGAATTCTTGGACACCCTGCTGATATCTGAGAATTGTTTGTTGGTGTGTGTGGGGGGGCGCCTCCTCTCAACACTGGAATTGGATCTGGGAACGCTAAAGACTTAACAGATGCTAGGTTTGGGGAATAGAGACAAAACAGTTACAAGTTTATCTAGGCCAGTTCCAGCTTACTTCAGATGTCCTGGACTAAGTATTAATATTAACACATCCCTTCTTCTTTTTACTCAAAAGTATCTTGGCTTGGACAATGAATTACATGGTAACCCTACACAGAAATGATTATGATTTACCCTCAATGAGTTCAATTTAGTAGGACAGACAATGCACCACAGATAATTCCAGGACAATGGGATACATGCTGAATGAGGGATATGAACAAAATGTTATGGGAATGAACTCTATTCATTTTACATTTCCACAGACTCTTTTCTCATTTTTGTGGTTTACAACCTTGCCACTCAAAGTGGCGCCAACAGTCCAGCAGCATGTCCAACTCCGGGAAGCTTACTAGAAATGCAGAATTCTCAGGGTCCGCTCCATACCAAATATGAATCAGAATTTGCATTTAACATGACCCCAGGTTAACTGTACTCACATTAAGGTTTGAGAACCACTGGTTTTCTAAGGCATGAATGCTTAATAATGTTGAACCATCAGTGATTCTGGCTGCTAATTTTTATTCATAGGGATTAAAAGAAATCATGGCCACAGTAAGTAAGAAAAACAAATCCATTTCTCTCAAGTGTAGATGACAGGACTACACACTGGCCATCGGCACAACTTCTGTGTAAGGCTAGTCTTCCACATGCAAGGTCATCGAACTCGCCCCCATCCTCTTCTTCTTAGACCCGTTTAAGTCCCTTTAATAGAATCTGAGTTACCTTTGATAAAAGATTAAGTCGACAACACTGAAATCATCTTAGAATTAGAGTGTAGATAGCCATGTATGTGATCTCAGAGGTACGTTAGGTCACAATATTTCTTCTCTTGGGTTTCATTATGAAAGTTACACAACATTATAGAAACAGTGGTGCCTTTCATATATGTAGGATAGGGCAATCATGTTAGAATTGAGTATAAAAATTCCTTTTAATATTAAAAAATTCAAAAGCAGGGGGTGGGGATGAGGGAGAAGGGGAAGGGATTAGACAGCATAAATACATAACTACAATACTGCCACAGGGATATGAAAGACAGTTCAGGGAATATAATTAAGAACATTGTAAATATTCTGTAGGGTGTCAGATGGTCACATGTCTTGTTAGGGAGACCACTTCATGGATGGGGTAGAGACTTGATCACTGCACGGTACACCTGAAGTTGATGTTGTATAACATTGTATGTCAA